CACCGGGTCCTCGCAGAGGGCGCTGCGATCGCTTTCTTTGACCAATCAGGACACGGCTTGAATTCGGAATTGACTGAGTCAGCGTTACTATTTCGAGCTGGCTGACTGGCTGGCTGCCTGGCTGCTGCTTGCCTGGCTCTGGCTCCCTGCTTGCCTGCCTGCCTGCCACCCTGCTGCCTGCTGCCGTAGGTTGTACAGCAGCAAACGAAGCATCGACGATAACAACAACGACATCGAATGAGAGAGTTCGAGATGAGCGGTAAAGGCGGCGGCAACAGCGATCCGAGCACTGAAAATATTGGACGGCGATAGTCGCTTTGAACTTCGGCTTTGATCCCTTAAGCCACGCTTGGCCAACCAGTGGTCTCTCCGCTGGAGATTCCAAACTCTGTCGCGAGGAGTGACTCTTGCGGGAATATTCTCAAATATCTGATGGCACTGATCACTTTCATAGAATCCGAAGAGATCATGCAATGCACTCGAGGTATTGATTGAGGGTACGCGATGCCCATCGCTGTCGAAGTCAAGTTCTTGGTTCCCCGAATACACCGCGGAACTCGGATAGTGTCAGTGCGGGGGCCGGATCGGACAAGCCGCCCTCCAGAGGAGATCCGATGTGGCAATCAGGAGTGAATTGATTGATCACAAATGGCTGTGTTTTTCTAACCTTCCCCTTGAATGTCGCGTTCATGCTCCGGGACCGCTTGTTGAGACTCGATTTCGTCCCGCTCGCAACAACGAGGAATTGATCGAGACATTGATTAGCTGAGGATCTCTCGACGAGCGAGCTCATATCTATGTGTGAATATCTACGATGAATCGCGAGAAACTATGCACTCACCGAATGTCGACACGCAGGACAAGGACTGCGGTGATATTCAGGAACGGGAATCGCGGAACGATCACGTCTCTAGGAGTCGATCCAGTCAACTGATAGACGGCAGCCTGAGAAGTCCCTCCGGAGGACTGACTTGCACCCTTCGCCAGGTTCCTCGACCGTCTGAATGCGCTCCACATGGATTTCGACAACCGAACAGTCAGCAGACAATCCGATCGGGAATTAACGGTAGCCGGCGGGACAGGCAAGCAGTTGACGCAAATAGAGAACCATTTGCCGCCTGATCATAGTTGCGTACTTAGATACATACGAACGAGGAGGCCCCTCTGCGATACGGAACTTCCGAAGCTGCTCCAATCTCGCGCGTGTTATCAAAAATCGAGGATAGAGGCCTGGAAACATCCTCTGAGATTCTGAATCACGCATTCGGACTCATCCAACCTGGCGGTTCCGTCTCAGATGCAGTCTAGCAGTACTCGAGCGTGTTTCGAGCATGCAGCATTCCTGAACGAGAAAATTCAGTAAATAATTTTCTTATCATCAGCATCGTTCCCGGTGACTGAAGGAATATTGCAAAACTGAAGCAGCCAGAAATTCACATAGAATGATAGCATGCAGGAGAGAGCTCTCCCCGGGTCCGAGCTCACTCAGTCTTCTGATCGCGCCTGCTCGGTCGCACGGCTCCGCGATCCGAGACGGAATGTGTCGGAAAGAAGAAAGTCAGGAAGTTCTGGTCGGCTTCGGCCCCCCTTGTCTCCGGAAATGTTTCGTTTTACCGTACGTTCTGCGAACGATTCTCAATTCCTGAGTCTGTTCCTACGGGCGATTCTCATCGCACCAGTCGGATCAACAGTACAGCGACCCCTGTCCTGGGCTCTGGAGCGACGTCACAGTTTCTCAGACACTTGGCGGACCCGAGATCCGAAAACAGACGTCCAGAGAAAATCATAGTCAGGGCGTCTGGGCATGAGTGCCATGTATATCGATCGGATGGCGATTCTCGAATAATGAACATCGAACCAGGAGTGAAATCCCGAAATCTCCAATTATTTCACTTTCTATGTATCGAACCTCCGAGGCGAGAACCCCCCTCTCGAGAGCCTCGATTCGAGCAATCGAGGGAATCTTCTGCGAAACTCCCAAGAGACCTGATTCGCATCAAAGAATAGAATGAGCATGCTTTCGTCCACACAGAAGAAATCGGTTTCATATTTCGTTCTTTGTTCCTACTGCGAACCCCTTTTTCGTACCGTAATGGAGGAGTTTTAAAGAGAATTCTGCATGAGATTCTTCTGAGAGCTCTTTTGCCGACGAGCAAGCCAGTTGGGTGACTGGGTGGCTCCGTTTTGATCCCCACACCAGCGATGCACAGACGCGCCGATGAACAAAAATGAAAATCACCCCAATGCTTCATCGGTCTGCTGCCGCAACGGCTGCTGCTATAAAAACAGCCCGCTGCTGACATGAAAGAACCGAAGCGAGCGCGCCAGCGAGTGAACTCACAGTCCGATATACGGATGGATCGACGAACGGACGATGTACCGACCGATGATTTGAATCGCTAGCCTGCCTAGTTTAGTCGTCGTTGTCGTCGCTGCCGCTGCTGCTGCTGCTGCTGCTGCCGGGCCTCTCGAACAACCAAGAGCAGCAGCAGGGCAGTTTCGAGTTCGGTCGATTATCAGTCAGCATTCCATAACTGCATCTCAGGGCCATCATCACGAGATTCCTGCATCCATAGCCCGAGAAAGGAGGTTGCGTTTTAAAGGAAAAGTCTCGCGTTTCATTCTTGACACAATACCAGTTTCGAGGGCCCCCAGTAAATGTGACTGACTGGGTGAATAGTAGAGCGAGCGGAGGAACGAGAGGTACATACATCTATGTATGTATGTATGTATATTGAGGGAGAGCGCGATAGAGGGGGAAAGGGGGCCGGAGGGAGGGCCGCGCGAGAAGGAAGCGGGACCGGCGGGATCGCGCTGGGCATAGGCAGGAGGAATCAGAGAGCGCACAACCGAGCACGCAAGAGGGCAAGCGGGCGCAAGAGAGAGATCCCGGTCGAGTGGGAGAAAGAGAGCGAGGGGGCAGGGGAGAGATCACAGTGTTTTAGGAGGCCTCCATGTATTTTTGCCCATTTCCCTCCCCCTCTGCTAGGAGTGGAGTGTAGGTTGGATAGCACTGGTGGTCGCGGCGGGTAGTAAGTTGAGAAGCGCGGACGAGCTGGTGGGCGGCCTGGCTGGAATACATGGGGATCATGGGAGAGGGAAAACCGAGAACCAAGAGGCATTACCTTTCGCTTGCACGGGCCCGTTTCGCCACATCTTCCTCCAAAATGGCCGTGCTCATGGAGGAGCACCAGCCGAACCAAGCTGTTTGATGTACCCGAGCACCATTTGGCATCGTTCAGCCACTAATTGTGGTGACATTCCCGCTTAACATCAGTGTTGGAATTTAGTTATCTGGTTTGTTCCTCGACTGTCAACGGGCGTGCACATTCCCGAGTTCAGACTTCACAAAACGAGCTTCCTGATTCGAGAACTTCGAGTGTCACTCATCGCTCGGCTCCTTCATTTCCCTGAAATTTAATCGACCAGGGAATGGTTTGAAAAACGATAGGCGATATTGCTCTCCGCCGATTTCGGTCATCGCTCTCGAGAGATTGAGGCCGCTGAGCGATTCTCATCCACGCGTGCGAACTGATGGACTGGACGTAGGCTGGCTCATCGGAACCTTCGAAGCTCGAAAGCGAGAGGGCGAGTATCTCTTGCAAAATTCTCAATAAACCCAACTCGCGATTCTTCCTGACCCCGTTATGCATGATCTATTCACAGTCGCTCCCATGCAGCGAAGAACATAAGATAACCCCTATTTCCTACTGCAGGTTCACCATGTCCGAGCGCTGCAATGTGCCCAGTGTCATCGATCTCCTGGAGGAGCTGCAAAGAATTCGTCATCTCATCCCAGACGACAGCAACAGCAGCAGCTGTGGAGGTGGCGGCGGTGGTGACGAGGACGACGTCGACGTAAGAAGAGGTCAGCGCGGCAGTCGGTCTAATATGGTTTATGATGATAAATCATGTCACAACTAGACGAGCCTCGACATGAGAGGCCAAAGAGAGTTAAAAAATTATCCGTCTCGACTGCACACCCACTTCAATCAAGGCACCGCAAAACTCACACGTGTTTTCGATCATAGCCTTCGTCTCTAACGCACCCCATCCGGAATAGTCAGCAATGGAAGCCTAATGTAGAGAGGTTGGAGCACTTTCGAACCTTGCCTGTGATCTTAAAACTAGAGATATCTCTAAGAGCATTCGATGATTTCTGTCCGTGAGAAGTGTTCCTCGGGCCAATCTTTGGTATACATACTCCTGCATGCCAACAGCAGCACAAGATACCTCCGGCGGGAAGTCTAGCTATCTCCACGGTGGTTCTGGCGCCGCCTGCGAGAAAATCCCTCGCCGGGTCACGTTTTTAAAGACTTTATGTCCCTGGAAAACGATCGCAGACTGGAGAAGCACACAGATTCTATTTTCCTAATGCCAAGATTTGGAGTTCGACGAGAAGATTGACCCGTCTTCGATTCAAGCTGTGAATGCTCTCCCTTATTCCATGATCAGTAAGTGACCAGACCAGATTATATGTTATAGACTCAGATTCTATCTTTCAATAAACTTTTTACTCGAGTAAAGAGTGTCCTCACTGTTCGAACTTCAGATCGGCTCTGATCCTAACCCTGAGAATGAACAGATATAATGTAGCCGCTTTACCTCCCTAGACGAGTGTTCTAACATGGAACGAGAGAATCGCGACCCACCGAGTGGTTGCGCGATCGTATCAAGAATCAAATAATCCCCGCGTGCACTAAAATAGGGAATACGATCAACTTTGGAGCACTTGTGAAAAATGATAGCACTGTCCCCTGAATGAACGAAGACAACCTGCACAATGTGAAGAGCTCAATGTAGATGTCGCAAACGATTTTCGCACGATGATTTCTTTCGCCGACATATCGATGATTCAATTAAGTCCTGTCATTTAGTTCCAACCCGTCAGGAATGGACTGCAGCCGGGGGAGGATTGAGAGAGCGTCTCACACCGCGAAGCTATACACTCTGACTCGCCTCACCTGGGAAGATTTTCGTTCCTACGCATTCTGTCCCGCATGGGTGGAAATTCCATGGAGCCCCCTTTCGGTTCGACTACCAATAGACACGATCATCCGTGAACGATCCCCGGAGTGTCTAGAGACCCATCCCGCCCGCCTAAAACGAAAACTTCTGTGAAGCAGCTCGAGACTCCACAATCGTCCCGATATCGGATGGATTCGCATTCGATCCAACGCATGGAAATCGTTTGGACTTGGAGCCGTGGTCGCGAACGCGACGACCCCTGACGCAATGGTTCGTCGAAGAAGCGTCACCAAGCGTCATCACAACCCCACCGCACCGGAGCGTGCGCCCTTCTTCGCTCTGCCTAGATTTCCCCACCCCTCCGTCCGAGTTCCTCAGTAGCGATTCGCCGAGACGCCAACGGTCGAGAGTGCCATGGCACATCGGAGGTGAAATCTCGAGCAAAAGGAAGAAAAAACTCGACTCAGTGCTCAGCTTCCGTAGCGATGATCAAAGTAGCGGCGTTTCCCAGGGAACACCTCTTGTCTGGAGCGCCAACAGCAGACGGTGTTCCCGGGACTTGCTTGAAGTACCGAATCAAAGAATAGGCTGTGATCAAGACTTCACTGATCTCGATCTCTGGAGAGCGCAATCCGCCGAAGTGAGTGGTGTCCTCGCTTCAGTGTTCCCTATCGGAGTCCTCAGTTTCGGTGTCCGGCGATTTCGGAACACTTCTGAGGCGACAGACCCCTGAATGAATATCCGATGAGGCTCTAAGCAAACTATCCTCAGGTGATCGGTGGGGTTCAAAATCTTCACATGGACGAACTTGCTCAAATCGTCAGAAATAAGAATATGGTCAGGAGGAGGAGCGCGGATTTACTAGAAGACTGTCTCCGAAGGTTGGTGACTTGGGCAGTAACCTTCAGCGTGATGCGATATCAGCCTCATATAGCTATTCCAGAGAGGATTCCTCCGATTGATCTCATAAAACAGTCGTTTCGCTCCTATTAAGGCACACCCGCTCACTATCGGAAGTGGACAATCTACAGATGGTGGGAATGGTTACAGCGAATCAGATCGTATCGAAAAGAAGATGGCGTCGAATGGTTCTCAGAGAACGCGCAGTCGATGCCTTCGCTCTAACTTGTGGAGGTAAGATGAGATCTCCTCCGAGCCCGTTTCCCGCTCCATGGATACTGGCACCCGTCCATCCGGGCTCGCCTTCAAGTTTTCTTCTTCGACAGGTACATGCTGCATAGCTTGTTTATACGCGTGCGTAGCCTACTTCTTCCTGCCAGGAACTTGGCCTACCGTCTTCGGACCCTGCGAAGATGCTCTCTGCGCCCTAAAATAGCTAGGCTACGACCTTGAAGAACTAGCGGCATCATCAGACGCGGCCCAAATTTATGCCTCCCCACGAAACGAGAGATACAGGTTTCTACTCGTCCCGATAGATTCCTCTGAAAGGTGATCGACCAAGGTTTCGACGAATGAAATGAGATTGGGTGCCCAAGAGGGAGCAGAGATATTCCTTGGCCGTCAGAATCGGGGGATCCGCTTCGGTAGGAGTCACGCGATAGGTAGAAATTATTGCTCAGTTTACGTAGACTTGAGAATAAAATCATTCGATCCTGTTGTATACTCTGTGCTGTTTCAAAAATCTCGTCGACTCTGGGGAGATCGACGACTTGTCTTTCCTCGGAAGATAGCAGTCCGGTTATGAGACTCGTGGCGAGGGGGCCTCGACGCGAAAACTTGTTCGTAGACTTCTCAGTAAGGCAGATTTCAGAAGTTTCTTCAGGTTCCGGTCTCACATCACGCCAACATCCTGGATAAGATCTTCGAAACTTCATTCGCCAAGAAGTCCACGTTCGCCACTCCCGCTGTTTCTCCGGGAGCTTCTGCGTAAACACGTACAATGTCCTCGGTTCCGGACGGTCTCACGAAACACCGAGCTTGCGGGAATCGCGAAACTATATCGTCGATTGCCTCTTGTAGCCCTGTCGGTGCTACGCAAGTTCTCTCTGCGTTCGCGGTCTTGATCACAGTTCGATCCTTCACCTTAAAATGAAAGCATGGTTACTCGAGCACGATGGCATGCTCGGGTTGTGAGAGATAATATCGGAGATCCTCGAACGAGATCGGAGAGATCGTAGAAGTTGGGGTCTTCCACTCACGGCGACCTTCAGTTGTCGACACGGCAGATCCTCGTATTCACTGAGCCAGTCGCTGACGTCAGTGTCCGAAGTTCTGAAAAGAATCCCAGTCGAGAATTATGTATTCCAGTCGAATATTTACCATGAAGACTCCTGACTAGGCGAGCTTGGGAGACCGCACCTCAGGACGTATTCGACGAGAAGCATATCTGAGAGAGCGTCGCCCACTGCCTCGTTGGTGAGGTCTATGAAGTCGCTTATAGTAGCCGCCTCTTCAGAGCTCAAAGCAGACACACGATTTTTGATCGTGTCGCTGAAGCAGATCTGCAATGATATCGAGTCAGTCTCGCTCAACTCCTAAATGCCAGCGCTTCGAAGCTCCCGCTCATGGTGTTGGCTGGCGCTGCGATCGATCGAATCTTCGAAAATCGAATGGTATCAGGAGCGAGGACTCCGAAAACGTACCGTTCCGTGCCCGTTTGCCTCGAAGTATATACCGACGTCGGCTTTCTGAGCTTCATGGTGGAGGTGCTTCACGCCCGTGGGAACGCACAATGCATTTATTCCCTGAAAGCATAAAATCCCGAATGATCACCGAGCTATCCCGGGTATCGGGGAACAGGTGTGAATCTTCTTTCGCTTCCGCGGAACGTACGAGTTTCTCCGAGATGTACTTGGTAGAGCTCCCATTGGCGTAAGCAGTCTGCACTAAAGCTATCCCGACATCGCTCAGTCCCGCCTCCCCGAAGAGTTTCTTGATGTAGGATCCTAGGAGGGTGGCGATTCGATCACCGTCCAGAAGCCTGAACAAAGGAGAAATGAAGGTCACCTCATGAATGACTGTAGTCGACATCCCACCCGATCTGATTTATCCATCTCAATTCTCAGCGCCGTGCGTCGCAGCAGATACGCGATCACAGAGAGGAAGGTGGTTACCTGAACTTGCCGTCCGCATCTTGGAAGAAATAAACTATACGATCCGCATCACCGTCCAGAGACGCATATCGGCCGAGAGTTTTCAATGAGAGGCCTGGAATGAAGCAATTCTCAACATGTAGAGCGAGATATTACCGGACCGTGCATCATGTCCTTCTACCCATATGAGGATCTCTGATCTCAACGCGTAGAGTCAGGGGTACACTTGCCGACTGGAGCCCCCTGTGAGATCTTGACATAGTCAGCGCCACACTGGTCATTCAGCGGACCATTTCCGTCGTTCACAACGCTGATCTGGAAGAGAATATAGTCGAAACTCAGTCCCGGGGCTGCTCGGCGAGAAGAGAGAGCGATCAGCGCAATTCCAGAGAATGCCACGACGGGATACCTCTAAGATGTTCTTCAGTTGTTCACTCAGCAGGTGGACCGCTCGAGCTCCAACCCCGTTAGCCGCATCAATTGTCAGAGCAGGAGTGTAACGCAAGGGTTGTTTGGTCTGTAACGGGGAGAGTTATCAGATTGCCGCTGACCGAATCCCGGGAACTTTCCGAGAAAGAAGCGCTCCGGATCGGAACCTACTTTCGAAGCGAGTCGGATGAAGGCCGAGGTGAGTTTATCATAGTACCCGTGCACGGATGGCTCACCGTATTTTGGATCATTCGTGCACCTGCAAGAATATACGTGGACTCTCGGTTGATATCGATTTCAAATGCTGCGTGAGCCCTTGATACTCATCAGCTGAGCAACTCACCTCACAACGAAATGCAATTGCGGTGTTGTCACGAGCCCGAGACTTTTGACCGCACAACCCAGACTCGTTGCTCCTTCGGACGCCGCGTCGTGCAGGGACACCGAGCTGGCTCGCGTGTCGTATCCAATTATCTGGAACCCCAGACGCGGAGAAGCCTCTTAAATGTTCGACCCGATTATTCACTCAGGTAAAATCCGATCATCATCATGTCCTGCTCCTGGTCTGAGAAACATCCGAATTTACCAAGTTACTCGGCGCATCGGACGGAATCGAGAAATCCGAAACGATCTTGGTTAACTGGCCCTCCAGTTGATCATCGTCTGCATTTAACACCGCTGAAAGAGACGGAGTATTACGATACGATCGAGGAACCATTCATTCACTGCCGGGGGAGGGGGCTTCATCAAAAGGGTAGATCTATCAGCGAATGTGGTCAATTACCAAGTGATTATCAAGTTGCTCACCGGCAGAGTGGGGCATATTCGTATTCGTGAATACGAATACCTATATTCGATTTTTTTATAAATACGAATATATTCGTAAGCGCATGATGATCGTATTCATATCCGTATTCATAAATTTTATGTGAATACGCCCGTATTCATACGAATGAGACGAGCTGAGAGGCTACTTGGCGGTTTTCGGGCACGTTGAGCTCGATTCCGGGGTCAGGGCTCAACAGAAAATTGAGCTATTGGAACATTTGAGCAGTTTGCACTCGCAGGAATTTCAGTGAGCTTTCCCATCGCATCGCTTTCCGATCCAAGCATGCTCAGCGAACTCGCCGCGATGTGGAATGAAAAACTTGAGCGCCGTTCTCATGCTAAGGCTCCCGTTCCGTTCCTGGTTTTCACGAAGACCGAAATTTACGTGAACCGGACTCATTCATGATTTGACGGTGGATGACCGCTTCAAACGTCACAAATTTACGACCCTCGTCGTTCTCAAATGCTCATTGCTGGATTCGAATTTCGATTCCTCCATCCGAGTGAGATTCGGATTGCCCGCTCTCAGCAGCCGACCTCGCCGTAGCAGTCGGCACGCAGCGGCGCTCGCTGCCCCGTCAACAAAAGCAGTCGTCGAGCGCGCAAACACGAACAGGAGGAAGTGTATGCACACAAAGTTCCATTGCTCTACTCAAGATAAGGCAGCTCCGCAGTTACTCGAAATGAATTCCGCGGGGGGTATCGTCGCTGTAGAAGGAAGCTCTCACGTGACATCACTGTCGTCCTCGGTCAAAATCGCCCTCAACAGTGCATTCTTTAAATGCGGTAGCACGGACCCAAGTTTCTCAGCCCGGACTCTGTCGACCGCGCACTCAATTGTCGCAGTGTGCCGAAGATGTGACCCCTCAGCTCCAGAGAAGAAGAAGCAGATTCGCATCAGTCCGAAAAGCACTTGGAATCTTTTCAAGCACTTGCTAGCACACCACTCTCAGACGGAAGCCGATGATTTCAGAACATGGCTGGAGAATCAAGGAGTCGCTTTCGTGCTGAGCAATCCAAATGATGGAGGTAAGACGCGAATTCAGAGATGCGCGCGTCCTTTACAGATGCAATTCGACGACTTGATCACTGAGTTCATCTTGCGATCAATGATACCCCTACGGGTTGTGGAAGAGTCGTCGTTCAAGAAGATTCTTGATTTCCTGAAGTTCGATCGACTGGGGTTGAAGCTCATGAGTCGGCGTACTCTGGGTCGCAGAATCGACTTGACGTACGACGGCAACGTGGATCGCCTGCGCGAAGCTCTAAAGAAAACGACGTGGGTGGCGACCACGGCAGGCATCTGGTCCAATAACAAGAGAAGCTTCTTCGGTATGACCGTTCATTGGATCGATGAACAGTACAAACGGAGGTCGGCAGCTTTGGCGTGTCGGCGGTTCCGCGGAGTCCATTCGTTCGAGAAGATTGCTGAGATCACTTCAAAAATACACAAACTCTTCAACCTCTCATGCTCTAAAATCGCAGCCACTGTCACTGATAAGGGCTCTAATTTCGTCAAGGCCTTTCGAGAATTCGGAGTGGAGGTTGGGAACCTCAGGTTGGCAGACGAAGAGGAAGGAGAAGTCGAAGTCCCGGAAGAGCCGCGGGAGGATCAGGAAGAGGAGGTGGAAGAAGAAGGAGAGGCGGAAGAAGAAGAAGAGGCGGAGCTCAACCCGTGGATAGAATGCAGAGAGGCATTCCGATTACCGTCGCACGCTCGGTGTGCGGCGCACACGTTGTTTTTGTGCGCAACAACAGATGTCCAGCGCGTATTGAACAGCGATGCCGACCTTCGGAATCTCCATCACTCGGTGCTGCTCAAGTGTAACGCTCTGTGGAAAACAAGTCGGCGACCGAAGTCAGCCGAGATCATCAAGGCGGTCACAGGCAAATCGTTGTTGCGGCCTGTTGCAACCCGGTGGACCAGCCTTTACGATAGTTTGCGAGCTTTGGTCGATCTCCGAGAGCTCATCTACGATCTGTCTGTCGAGCTGAACATCCGGACGATCTTGACTCCGAGCGACATCTCGTATATCGAGGAGTATCTGAAATGTGTCAAACCCATCGCCGATGCCCTCGATATACTCCAAGAAGAGGAGGCTGCGTTTTACGGCGTGTTACTCCCGACCCTCCACGTGGTGAAACGTCAATTGAACTCGTTGTCCCGAACTTCACTCCAGTACTGTCGACCGCTCGTCGAGGGATACTTGCTGAGTGTCGGAAACCGCTTTGCAGAGGACTTCGACTGCCAAACTGTACGCGGCGAGAAAGCTGCCATCGCCGCTCTCTCTTTGCCTCGCTTCAAAAAGAGGTGGTTCCCCTGCATTCCGGAGGAAACTCAGGAGTATATACTCAATCGCTTCAATGATCTTATCCGGGAGCAGTTGACACCGGCGAATCCTCAGGACAGCGAGCCGATGGAGGTCGACCCCTACTATGACTTCGGGGAAGGGCCGCAAATGCCAGCGGCTCCAATAATAATCGATCTCAACCAGCATCGGCAGCCAATAATGATGCAGTATCTGAACGACCCGCAGACAAACCCGACGATGCTGCGGAACTATCCCCCGATAGATCGCGTCTTCAGGCAGTTCAACACGGCACCGCCCTCCAGCGCCGCGGTACAACGGCTTTTCTCGTATGCGACGATGACCAACTCGCCGAAAAGCAATCGCCTGAGTGACGAGAGATTTGAGCAGCGCGTAGTGCTCCCCATCAATGAACCTCTGGATTCATGAGAAGATCTGAGGAATGTGCAATAAATAAATAATGAAATTCTTTCCTTTCCTCAACAATGATCAAGCCTCTTGTGTTCCTTAGGGAGTTTCTGGTGGACAAGGATCGCGGTCTCTACCGAGTAATTCGGTTGCAGAATCCTGTGCTGAAGATTTACCGAGCAAGCCCCGCTCGCGTTCGTAGCGCCATCAAACAAAGTTTTCCCTATGAGTACGAATCTATCTGCTCATGCGAATTCGCCACATATAGACGGAAGAAGAGGGTCCTGACCCTGAAATCGTGCTCAGCTTGGCCGAAAACCCCCAATCAGCCTCCTGGCTCGTCCCCGTGGCGTCATTAAATGGCGTCATTAAAATCATTATTCTTAATATTATGGCGTATTCACAAATATTCTATGAATACGAATATATTCGTAAATACGAATGCATATATTCGTACTCGTATTCGTATTCATATCCGTATTCATAAAGAAAAATTCGAATATATTCCTATTCACGAATACGAATATGCCCCACTCTACGAATATGCGTCACTCACCGGTGACGCAGCGTTCCCAGCTCAGTTCCATCATTTCACCATGAGGATCCACGAGCTTGGCCCCGTTGTCGCACTCCGGGTTGTGCGAGGCCGTTACCTGCGGAGACCAATCACGAGATATTGATTCGTCGCATATTTGGGCTTCGATCATTTCGCTTCCCATCTTCGATTCGTCCCCATGACGCGTGAATGGAGCCACCAAAAGATATTGTTGGCGTCACACAAAAATCTGGCCGTCGGAACCGATTATCCGCCTCGCAAGATGACGACTAGATCGTTTTCCGGGATCTGATCCTCTCACCCGGAAGATGAAAACGTCCCGAGCTGTCTATCAAAATACCAGGATTGCTGATCAGTCGAAGAAGGAGCACTTAATTCCTAGAGAATCACTTTTCTGCCTCCTCTGAGGGAGCTCAGTCGAGAGTCGAGGGGAGGTCTCCTCGGTAGACTCACCATAATCCCGACTGTAGCTCCGCGCAATGCACGGGATCTCAAGGCGGCGACAACTCCTAGACGGAACATAGCAGTCTTCAGGACGTCAGACCTAGAAAAAGAGCACTTGGGTCTAGTATCGAAGCTATTATTATCAGGGGTTCCTATCATGAATGATCATAGTAGTGAACGTGATTGATGAGGATGACGCTGGACTAAATATTAGAGGAGGTGATCCTGCTGGCGCGGCGTCTGGAGTGTTAGCGTGAATGAATGATTTACAATGGTCCGTCCGTCGCCGGGGACAGATTCCGGAGCCCTATTTTTCACGTGTGCTCATGGGCCAGAGAAGCCTTTGTGAGCCCTGAGAAAACTTATTCATCGACCAGAGGGAACCATTCATCGCGCAGGCCTATGGTGGGCCCGCTGGATCGGCCCTCATCAATATCGAGCCTCTCTCGCCATTGGAACGGTTTGTCCGATTTTATAATCAGACTCCACGCTCTTCCAAGGGAACTCCTCGGACTTCCGCAAGTGAAAGGCGGTTAAAAATAAAAAGCGATGCGATCTCTCCGAAAGCCCGCGAGGAAGAGTCGACTGGCTTATGGCCGAGTAAAAGTGCGAAAATTGCAATGTCTGGGTTGGCATCCCTCACGACCACGCTGAAGCCGTCATCGAGTAGAGCTCGGAGATTTTCGAAGCGAGAAGTCGAGGGCTCGCTTCGCAATGAAGTTCTATGTCCTCCCGAACTTTAGCGCTCCGAGCCGGTTTCCACGATCCTGGATAGAAGTTCCGCGGATACCGCTGCGGAGACCCTACTCGACTTCCGACCGCAAACATGGGGACCCCTTCACTCGCAGCCAGAGTAGTGTGTGCCACGAGAGCTCCGTCTAAGTGAATCTGAATTGTTTCCTACACTATATGTATGTTCGGATACGTATGGCGGAGGCTCGCTAAGGAACATTGCCACGGGCTCAGCGAACTCACCTGGTCCGGACCCCGGAGGTTCCGTAGGAGAAAACAACCCCATCCAATCGCGGATAGAGAGTCGCGCTCAAATCGATAACTTTCTGGAACATGGCTCAAGACGTCAAAACTCTAGTAGTGTAAAGAATCGTTCCAAAAAGTTTTGGAGCTATTCGAAGAGCAGGTCCTTGTTCTCTCTCATTGGGGAAGGGAGGCAGACTTCGAACTCACGAGCGCCAACGCTCCCACAGCACGAGGATTACCATGCTCGCGATGTCCCAGAGCATTCAATCCGAAAATCTTCCCTCGACTCATCCGAAGTGCTTGAGTGGTGAGAGATCCTCACGGTGGAGGGCAATCATTATTCCCCCCTGAGCTCTCCCGAACTCTTGAAAGAGCGCTCGCCGAGACTTGACGGCAACAGTAGATGCTCATGCCAAGCCAGTCTTAGAGCTAGAGGTGCAACCCGTGGCAAGTACTACCGATACCAGGACCACAGTCTGCCTAGAATCGACTCTGATTGATTGATTGATTGATTAACCATCCCTGGTGTTACAAGATATACATTGTATCCAGGATACCCCATGCGCGGGGGCGAGTCTTCTCAGCTGGTTATAGGTTGGTGGATCCGACGTTTGCAGGGGACGTATCTCATCGTCTCCCGCTCCCATCTCTCTAGACTCTAGACTACTTTTTGTTCGCTCTACAGTTTCTCGTGTTGAGTCGTCGTGTAGGCCTAGTCTTTTGCGGATCTCTGGCTCTTCTGAAGCGGAGGCGTCGTGCGAAGCGCTACCGTGAGTGAGGGTCTTCCACCAAGCGCTGGGAGGCGACTTGGGGATCACCGTATCGGTCGTTCCCGATTTCGATGCAGTTCCTTGTTTATGGAAAGACTCGATGTTCAACTCGAGGAACCGATGAGTGCTTCATCCGCTTGGGAAATTCGTTCTGGGCGGAGCTAATGATACCACTCGACGCTACTCATTCGGGAAGCGTCGATCTAGTTCGGGAATCTCCAGGACCATGAATCCTGCAATCATCCAGAGTTGACGTGCGATTTCGTATCGAAGGGAGACGCCTGTGCCATGACGAGCGATGCATTCGCACAGACCCGCGGTTCACATATTACTTTAGTTTGTCCCGACTCTCAGGATCCCTTCGGACCTCCCGCCATATCCACCTGGGAGCGTCAATGCTTGCCGAGTGAATTGGGCTAGACGATGACTGGGGTGGAATGACGACGTCCAATCCCCGAGTCGGTGGTTGTGGAAGCTTGAGGTACTCCAAGTTGCCGCCGATTGCCGGACATCGAGAGCAGGTTGCGGTCAGGTATTCGTTACCGGAGTTCAGGCATATATCACCGGAAGCTCCTTCAGATGCGTTCGAATTGCAGCTAACTTCCTTTCGGCTGACCACTCGGCGAGCACTCTGGAGAGAGCATTGGCTCAACCGGCTCATCGACTATTCCATTTGATCTCGTGACCGTCATCCGTTGGAGCAGCCCCATGTTGCGCTTTCCAACTTGGACGACCCGATGCTACCTAATATATTAGGGGTCGAACTCTCAGAACAGGAAAACTGCCTGTAGCGCGAACGTCACTCGAGGAAAATGAGGGAAAAGCACGCTGATCACGGAACAGAAAGTCAGAGCCGACTCGGGTTATCCCTCGAGTACCGCTGAGACCCTACGCCGAACCGACCCGTCGACAATGTCTAGCTCAATTGTTCATGATCACTCTGAGTCTGATACGAAAAAAAGGGAAGCGATCAAGAGGATCAGAATTCGTGACGGATTCCCTGATGAATGAATATCGTTCTGAGCTGGATTCTACTTCGAGGGACGCTTGCATGAGAGGCGATAAGGTTATGGGTGATGCCTCGGTTGCGGTCGCTTCTCATTATAAGCAGCAGCTCGGACGCCTTTGCCTTATGGGCCGTCCCTCAGTATGGGCATAGCTTTCGCGTAGCTAAATAAAACGGCGTTGGCCTCCAACTGTTCGATTGGCTATAACGCTGGAGGCATAGTCTGGAATGGTTTTGATATGTCCCTGATGACCTCTTGAAGCGAGATCGAAACCTGGAGATTTTTTGTTCCGACATGTTTCGCCTACCGAGCGGAATGTCACGAGTAGTAAATCTGACCGATCGATCACAATTTCTCCCATCTAGCGGTCGAGCGACTAGCCTCCGAACGAGAGCGCGGCTCCGTGAATTTCAGCAGCTTTATTCAGAAAGCCGCGTCGCAATTGGTCTGAAAAAACCGGTACCACTCTTGACGAATTAACTATTGTTCTGACGGACATTCAAGATTGATGCGGTGATGAGTGGATCCTCCACCGACTTGGCCTGGAATGATGGGAGTAATGCCAAAGTTCTGAAACATTCTGTCTGATCAAGGAGACAACTGAAGCCGTCACTCTTCCGATGACCGATGGATGTATCAATTTGTTCGCGATCGCTTGCACAAGATACGGCGGAACCGCTCTCTGACCGCGGGAATAAGACGGGGTTCGGAGCTTCATACCGCGAGCTTCGTATCTTTTTTCACGGCTCTCTCACGCCATTCTGACCTTGGGAAAACTCGCATGAACTGACGTGACGGGAGCATTATGCGACCTGAGCTTGCGGAAAAAGAAGCGATCTGTCTTGAGTGATGGGTAATTCCGACGTCGGGGAACTTGCGTGCTTATGAGCGGAAAATATCGCTCGCTGGACAAATCTCCAGGTGCGAATTATAAGCTTGAATGAAATCCGGCCCGACAAGCATATTGTCAGGGTCATATGTCATAGATTAGCTCCCAGGTTGTCGTCAGATGCTTTTTACTTCAATGCTGACGTTTGTTTCCTGTTGTGTCGCAACCGCGGTACCGTAAGGACGCACTTCTCAGCTCCGAATTTTCCTTTTCCCTGTTCCGACTTTGGCAGAGGCGTATTCCAATTTGGGAGTATCCGTTGTCCTGGCCCACTAGTTTTCCGATGATGATTAGACGATGATGATAAATTGGAATCCCTCCGATGATGCGTTGCGCGGTGCGGCCTACCCGGTCTGGCCGATCTTCGGCGTCTGTTTCGCCAAAGCAGTGAGCGAGTCCCGGCGGAGGACCAAAAACATCAAAACGCGAGACGCGGGACCCTGAGAACTGGAAATCAAAAACCAGCGGAAAGAAATTACGGGCGGAAATTCTGGACACAAATTGATTGTGCCCGAAATAGTGGATTCGATCGATTCGCGAATCACCTCTGCAAGCGAATAAGCTGGAAAGAAATCCTAGACTGGATGATGGATCAGTAGGTGCGAGAAGCGGGCTCAGATCCGTCGACTGGCGTCTTGGACTTGACGACGGAGAGCTCTTCGGCGGCTATGCGCCAGTGAGGGTCTGCTTCAGAAATGTCCCTCGGCAATTACTAGAGAAAATCATCGCAACAGCGGTCGGTCGAGTCGGAGAGCGGTAACCAAAAAACGGATTATGATCAACGAGATTCCGCCTCAATTGAGGCACTAAGATTTGTATTTCTCGAAGTTCCGGGGAAATTCTCTCCGGATCGAATGAGAACTCAGCTTAGAGATTTGCTCCTGCCAGCTTATCGAGCAGCACATGTGCCACCCAGGACCTATAGGTACTTTTCTAATTGGCGATGCTTTCGATATTCGGGGATCACATTGGCTGCGTCAGTTTCCGGGTCAGACCCTTAAGCTGGGCAGCGTCCACAACAAGTTTTTGAGGACCCGATATGAACGAGATGAAGGTCTCTCGAGCAGATGACGCCTGAGCTAATGCAGCGACTCGTACGTTTTACAGATGGGTTTATCGTTGGGCACTGGCCGGCGGAATGCGAAGTTTTCACAATCAGACAGCGATTGGAGAGCAATCTTCCCGGGAAGTCTCAACTCTCCACACTCAGACGGACTGATTTATCTTGCGAGAGCATCCTTCTGTAGCTTGGTCCTACGCGGAGGGCCCAAGAAATGAGTTAATCCTGGTCCGTCTTGGGCGAGTGAACTGGAGACTATTCTTTCCCCGAGTAATCGGATGCTCTAAGATGTCGTCAGAAAAGCGTAGTTTCCTAATCCCGGTACTTATCTCTCTGGGCATCGATAAACACAGAAAAACCCAGCTGATACAGAA